CCTACGTCTTGGGCAGACCCAGGTGGCCTCAGTACTTATGGCTGCAGAGTCTGGGTGTCTCCTATGTTCTGCAGCTCGCTGAGGGAGGACCAGGGATTGGAGTGAACAGCACCTAGTGTCCCAGTGCGTGAAGTCTGAGCTGCTCACCTCATCCCACCATTTTGCTGACCAAGCTCTGCCTGACTCCCCCTGCCCAAACCTCCCCAGGAGCCATCGCCAGTCCTTTGGGCCTCACTGTGTGCGGTGAGGCCAGGGTTGGGGGGTGAGCAGAACCGTCCACCATCACAGAGGGTGCCAAGGACAGTGCGCCTTCACTTGTGCCCACCATGGACATGCATTCCCCATCTGTGCATCGGCTCCCAGAACCCCCCTCCCCCTCACAGCAGGCTCTGCATTGCTGCAGAAGTCTGGAGCTGTGCGACAAAGCAAGGTGCCACATCCATGTAGGGGAGTCAGGGTCACCCTCATCTGCATCAGGGGTGCTTTCTTGTCCCCGAAACTCATTGCCATGTCAGTGACTGCAGACAAGATCTGGTATGCCACTCCGGAACTTTCCATCCTAGCATACAACCCATAAAGATTAAGGAAATAACTTTTAAGAGCTCGCGTGGTCTCCAGGGCATCATTAGGAGCCCCCGGCGGCCGAGGGCGGGGGCTCGGCACAGGAGTGACAGCCCGTCAGGAGAGAAGCGCTTTTCTCCATTTTCCCCGATTTTAACGTGAAGCTAATGGGTTCCTACTTCTCACAGGGATGGTGGCTGTCATTTCTGAAGGATCCATATGCGCAAAATTAATCACTCTTTCTAAGTCACTCTAATAGTTTCAAGGAGGGAAATGAAGCCTCGGTTGGCATTTTCTTTCTAGAGTGGCCATGCCGGCAGCTTCCGCCGCTGAAGCATTGTTTAGATTGCCTTCCTCCTTGGTCAGAGGCGGCTCAGCCTGTCCTGTGTTGTCTTTGACCTCTGAGCCCCCAGCCCAGCGGCCCACTTGTTGGCTGGAGCGTGTCCGCTGGCTTCCCCACCTCCTCCTGTGCAGAGCAGGGGCAGAGCCAGGCCGGTGCCCCTCACACTGCTCATCCTGAAGGCGCCGCATCGCCCACCCGTTTGCCCTGCTGCACGTGGCCAGGCACAGGTCAAGCCTCTTGGCGGTGAGCTCTCTGGGTCTTCAATAGAAAACATCTTCACCCTTCGCTTGCCCCTGAGTAGATAGAAGAGAAATATCCGCACCATTTTTACGTCAGTTTTATTGGAGAGCAGTTGCCCCAGGCTGGGCCAGAGGAAGGAGGGACCCCACAAGTCAGAACGTGGGCCTGGAGGCCGTGGGTCCAAATGTTTTAGGGACCTTTCCTCGGACTTCGCATGCAGCTGTCCTGGCAGACACAGGTCATGTGCCGCGCGCCAAGGAGTTTTATTTAAACTCACAAACCAGTAAGAGAGCATCCAGCTGTTCTGACTGTTTGAGTCTTCGCAGGCATGGCTGGACCCAGCTAGCAGGGCGCCCAGGCTGCCCCCAAACCACAAGATGAGGGGCCACGGCCGCCCTCGGACCTGGAGGCCATGGATGACGGCCGCCCTTGAGCTCTGGTCAGCACTGCATCAAGGTTCACTAGCCCGTCAGGACCAGGCTGGAGAGCCCGCTGCCTACCCTGCTGTGGTTCATCCTCACTCCCGCTGCCTGTCCAGACGTCCCTGGGAGACAGTGGGCAAGTTAGCTGTTCCTCAGCCACCCCCGGCGCCCCAGTGGCCGCTGGGTCTGTCATGTCTGGGCTGGGAGCACCAGTTCCTCAGGCCACAACTGGAGGTGTTTTCCCTTCAGTTTCATGTGGGAATTTTCCCAACGTGGCTTGTTCAGGGCTGGTTGTGTTCCTCAAAGTGAACAAGCAGCCGTAGAAGTGGAAGTCCAGAAACAGGCAGGTGCAGCTCATGGCTTCCTTATGGGCATTTGCTAATCGTCACCCCCCAAAGCCACTGGCGAGGCCAATACCTCCAATGGAACAGAACCTTCCAGCGCCACCATAATTGTGTTTGCCAAGTGAAAGGGCCAGATGTTGCCTTTGCAAAGACTGAGCACAGGCTAAATGGCACTGAATCTGAGTAAGAAGCACCTAGTGGAGCCTGTTGACAGCCGTGTGCCGTGTGCCGTGCCATCCGCAGGCGCGCACAGCCTCTGCCGCAGGAAGCCGCCGCGGCAGTTCGCTGGGCATTTGTTGTTCTGAGGACGCCTCCCCACCACGCTGAGGCGGAGAACAATGGTGCTCCTTGTGCAGGCAGCACAGCTGCTGAAATTTGACTAGATCCAAGCAGAGAAAGCAGAAGCAGGTGGGTCTGCAGGCGACCCTTTCCTCCCCAGCCGTATCAGGGAGCGCTGATGCCGGGGGGCGGTGTCCAGCTCCAGTGAGAGAGGGGCAGGTGGAAGCAGCGGGTCGTGCAGTAGGAAGCCTGCACGCCGTGGCTTCTGGGTGTCCCCTCTCCCATGCACCCCAGCAGGTAAGGAACGTCTCAGTAGGTGACCCTCTGCTAGTGCACTCACATCCCTACGGTGACAGCGTGTCCCATCCCTTGCCTACCCTGTCACCTGCTTCCTGGCACTTAGACGGTCTCTGGGCTCCACCATTTGCATATCACTTTGATTGGTGTCACTCAAACAGCATATTAAAATTCAGTTCATTACATCTGTGCAAAGTGAGGTGACAATTAGAGAAGGAGGCCCGCACCCAGGGCAGGCTCTGCTCACCCACGTGGAATCTGAGTTTGCAGGGGTTTGCAGGAGCGTGAGCAAGGCAGGCTTTGCACTGTGGAGTTAGTGAGGACTCACACTTGGGGTGGTATGCCAGCCCCTCTAGGCGTCCTGGGGGGTGTTCCAAGCTGGCTTTCTCTCTGCTCAGAAGCCCCAGCTCCGCCTGCTCTGCCTGCAGGACTGCATGAAGGCACAGGCCTCTCATCGCCAAGTGGAGGAGGGATCGGTACGGGTGGCCTTTGAGGTGCTTTCTCAAAAAAAAGGGCGTGTCGGTATATAAGCACACTCCAAGCCGTGACTGTCACCATTTCCACATTCTGCGTATCCTTTGCTCATCCAATCACATGTATTATAAATGCACCCTAAGTGAAATAAGTTCAAGTTTAATGAAAATTACCTTAAGATAAAATTATAGAAGTTGGCATATGTAACAAAGTTTATTTTTTTCCTGGCTAAGAGAAGGGGATTTTGAAGCAAGTTGTAATGCGAAGGTTTTCAAAATAAGCAATTGCTCCATGTCTGAAATCTCATAAAACTAGTGTAGACACTTTCTGCACTTTCCCCTCCTGAACCTCTGAGGGAAGCCCATGTGTGTCCAATGCTGGGTGCAGTTCAGGGGGCCCCGGAGGGCGGGACTGAGCCATGTGGGCACCCCATGCATCCAGTCTCCCCTTCCTGGCCTCAGCCAGAGCGCCCTGCGGTCAGCTTTTCTCTCCCTCAGCTGACAGCAGTGCTACAGGACCCACCACAGCTGGCAGAGCTGTGCTCCGCCTGCCCACCTTGCCTTGGTGCCCGGCACTGTTCAGGCTTCTTTCTGCTTCTGGAGTCATCTCCCCAGAGACACTAGCACAAAGCACTTGGGTCCGCTGACACCAGCTGCTCACCCAGGCGAGACTACCTGCCCCTCTGGGCAGTGACAGTCACTGTCACCCTGTGTGAGGCACTGCGCACGCAGGCACTGCATTGCTACGAAAGACCTGTTCTCTCAAAAGAAATCTACAAACATGTGAGAGTAAGTGGAATCCTGCCATCCTGCATCTAACAAAAAATCTCAAACTACAGAGTGTCGAACAGTTGCACAGCGAAACCTAGGCGCGCCCCTGCCTGGACTCTGCGGCTCGTCTTTCGCTCGGCTGGCTTTCTCACGTGTCTGTTCATTGCTCAGTTCAGTATTCAGTGCCCCTCAAGTAAGTTTCAGGCTGAAGACCTTCCATCAGCCCTAGAATGAGGGTTCAGGATTCGTATAGGTTTGTGTCTGAGGAGGAAACAATGCTCAGGCCCTAAGGTTCCTCTGGTGAGTCTCAGGAGCACACTCCCTGAGCAGACGCAGACTCATGTCCCCGGCCCGTCTCTCCAGGCAGCTGTGTCCCGATTTCTTTCACCTGATCAGTTTTCCTCATTCTAGAACCCTCTATAAATGGAACCACAGAAAATGTACCGAATATGTAATGCAGCATAATATTGTATTAACAGGAGCTTGTGCATATGCATGTTCCTTTTGAAGAGCCCGGTTTACAACTGCCTGAAGCTGTTCTGGGTTCTGGGTGACCCTGAGCAGCTGTTGTACAGTGGGGCCAACTCAGTGAGCTGTTAGGGTTTGGAATGCCATCTCCTCTGCAAAAATGTGCTTTCGGGTGCACTACGCTCACCCACATGTCTCACATGGGGCTCCCAGCAGGAAGGACTGGCTAGCACCCCTCACATCAAACCTGTAGAGCTGCTGCCATACGGACTGAGTCCACATGGGGCTGACACGAGGCAGTTTCATCCGGAGCCACCATCACCTGTTCCTGCTTCTCCCCTGACCTGCTCCCTCACCTGGGGCAGACAGGGAGCAGAGTCAGCTTTGCAGTCAGAACTCCCCTACTGGTCTCTGGCCTCCTCGGTGCACGTTGTCCGCCCTGGTGAATGCTCCTCAGGGAAGAATGCAGAAAGTCATGATTGCAAATGCAAGCCTATGGATGGGAGAGGCCTCGCCAGCCCCCGTTGGCGGTGTGTGCTCAGCTTGAGGCCGAGCCACAGTTGCAGTGCCCTGAGGAGGACAGGAGACTGCGGTCTGAATGCAGGGGGCCTGGCTCGGGCGCTGGGGCACGGTGCCACAAGCTGCCGCCGAGGTGCATCTTGACTGTGGGCTGACACGTGCTCCTTGGTCTCCATCCATCCGTGTTCAGGACTGTTAGGTTAAATGAATTTGGTGGGACCGTCTCTGTAGAGAGTGTCCAGCTGTGGCTAACATGGCCCTTTGTTCTTCCTGTCACCATCAGGATGGGAGTCCCAGCTTCTGGAAACGGGGTTCCTGGGGATTTTCCTGTGCCCTCTGTGGACTCTGTCTCGGCTGCCCAGGAAGACCCCCACGTCCCGGATCGTTCTGTGGGGCTTTCGGTGGCTGATTTTCAGAATCATGCTCGGAGCAGTAAGTAGAACTTTAATTTGTAATATTTGGGGATAAATGTACTGTCCTCCTGTTGGTTGGGCTGGGCCAGCTGGGCCCCTTCTCCCTCTTTCTGTGCTATCCAGTGGCCTATCACTGAGCCCTGGAAACTCCATTGGCTTCCCTGGTCCTTCACACGACCACTTTCTGTGCCCAACCATGGCTCAGTCCATTTCACACAGACTCTTGGGGTACGGCCTCTCAATGCCTCTTTCTCCCCAGCCTTCCCATGGTCTCTGGAATGTCCGAAACATTTCCCATCACTTTAAATCAGTCAGAAGGGCACCTCGTCACCTGAATCCTCACCCGGAAGTAGCCACGCGAGCTTCCCTCTGTCTCTGCTGTTAGTCTTTTCTCTTGGACACCATGCTCATGGGTTTGGGGGGTGGAAGGGGGCTCAGCTGTTTCTTTACTCCCGTGTGGCCATTGGGGGCAGTTGTGCGCCCTGCGTGCTGCTCGCCTGTGTTCGCCTCTTACGCTCTCTTGCTCAACCCTGGAGACTAGGGTTCCTTAGCTTCCCCCTTCTGCAGAGCCTCTGAAAGTGCGTACCCCACTTTTAACCTCACTGGCAGCTGCCCTAAAGCTTTTCAGAAACATTATCTAAGCCTTAAAATGAGGAGTACCGTGGTTCCTTCTGACTTCCGGCTGTAGATAGAGAATTTGGCAGTTTTCCCTGCTTTTTCACTCTCTTCTATTAAGTAAATAAGGTCTTAATTTTTTATTAAAACATTATAAAATACTAAAATCTCTTAAATAGGAAACCTCGTCATACAGATATGCTAAGTATGTGTTTGCTGTAAGTGTTCCCTTGGGGGACGGTCACAAACGTGCAGAACTGTCGGGGGATGGGGCAGAGCACTTGCTCCTGACCCGCCTGAGCACAAGCTGCTCCATCCACCAGGACACCTCGCTGTGTCCCCTCTGGTCCCGACGGTCCTCAGTCTCCCTGCTCCGACCAGCCTGCGGTGGGCATCCCTGCCAGGAGGCCCTGCACGCCTCTCTTTGGGGCAGCACCACCTGTCCCCTCACTGACTCCAATGGGCCCCGCTGGTCCTCTCGGTGTCACTTTTTCCCACAGTGTAATTAGTGAGCATTTTGTGGTGAGGCCTCTAAAATTATGTGCTGTCCCATTCCTCAGCAGAGGTTCCATTTACTGGTACGCTTTTGGCCGTGAGCCTGCACTCTTGTGTGCCCTCTGTCCAGCGCAGCCCTTTAACCTCACCGTGGCTGTCGCCCTGTGATGCCCTCATTCCTTGTAGTATCTGTTTTGTGCTCCGTCAACCTCAAATCCTGACCAGTTGTTCATGCCCTCAAGTTGACTCCGACTCCTGTGACCCTGTGAATGAGTGATGTCATCAGTGTCCTGTCCTCAACAGCCCTGCTCAGCTCCTTAGACTCATGCCCCTGGCTTCTTCCATGGAGCCAGCCTACTCAGAGCTGGTCTTCCTCCTTCCCTGCTGCCTTCCATTCCCCGGCATTATTGTCTTTCCAAAGAACCCCGCCTTCTCAGGATACCCTGCCGAAGTAGGGCAGCTTCAGTTGCGTCATTTTTGCCACCAGCAAGGTTTCAGGCTTAATTTGCTCTCGGACCTACCTGTTCATCTTTCTGCTGGTTCACCTTTCATTTGGCGACCGCTGCTCCAGAGCATCCCGTTAGGAGCAGGCACCAACCTTTTGGGCCTCACGGACCACCGGTTGGCGACCACTGGTCTAGAGTATCCATAAAGCTCCCCTCCAGCACCATGTTTCAAATGAGTCAGTCTTTCCTATCAGCCTTCTTCACTGTCAGCTTCCACATCCATGCACAGGAACTGACCAATGCCAGCTCCTAACTAGCACTGACCAACATCGGCTCCGTGAAGGGACAGCGTGCCAGACAGTGCGTGGGACCAGAGTCCTAAAGGCACACACCTCCCAGTTCTTTCTGTTACTGTCGAGAGCCCGCTCACACACACCTCAGATCCCCTCTTCGGTAGCTTTCCTCATAGCACCATGGCCAGCTGTGGTTTGATAAACTGGCCCAGGGCCCCAGGCACTGGAAGCAGCTGGATGCTGAGGGCCAAGCTCCACCTAAGGCAGCAGGCCTGGGGCCGGGGCCCGTGTGACTGGTCACATCCACTTGGGGGGTGAACAGGCCCCCAGGGGCTGTGGCAGTGCTGGTTGTAGAAATCTAGAGCATCCCGTTAGGAGCAGGCAAGGTTGACAATGTTCCTGACCGGGGTAAATGTGAGTAGCTACCGATACTGGGAGACGCCATGTGTCTAGATTGTGCATGTGTCTAGATGCTTTCTCTAAATTTACTTTCCCGTTTAACTAGAAAGGTAGTCATTTTCATGTTTCCTTTGGATGAAACATTGAAATTATTAGTTGTCTGTAGTTTCTTGTCCATCTAAGACTTGACACACTGCATGGATTTCTCTTTGGCTGGCTTATAAAGTACAAAAATGTATGAAATGTACCCTGGCGAGGTGGCTCAGATGATTGGAGCATTGTCCTATGCGTCAAAAGTTTTGGGGTTTAATTCCTGGTCCTAGGTTTCGGGTTTAATCTCCAGCTGGGGTTTGTACAAGAGGCAACCGATAGATATTTTCCCTCTTTCTCTCCCTCCCTTTCTCTAAAATCAATAGAAACTATCCTTGGGTGAGGACTAATTTTTTTAAATGTATGAAATGTTTCAAGGTTTCCTTGGAACCAGTGGAATGGCAGCTTCGATAGGTGGAACACATAAAGCAAGAGGCCCCCAGTGCAGGGGCAGCCCGGCAGCCCGGGCGGGGAAGCTCTGGGCGGCCGACCTGTCAGGCTGTTTTGTGTGTGGTGTGTGATGCTGCGAGTTGAACAAATCCCTCCATGCCTGGCAGAGTGCAGTGGAACATTAGCACATCCTAAAGCACCTTTTATGGCATTTGATTGACTGTTAGTGCCAGCTGGGTGAGAAATTACCAGGTGCACTAAAAGGTATAATTACTTGATTTAGTCTGTATGTTGGATATTATTAATCTGCCTTCAGTAGCAAGCAGAAAATAGAGTTGACTTGACAAAAAAGAGTGCCAGCAGCAAAATGTCCATCCCTCTGTGGGGTGGAGAAACCACTGCAGACCTGGGGACACTGTGAATGAAGCCCCCGTCCAGCCCCCGATCTGCTACTGGGTCAGAACCAGTACCAGAATCAGCGTAGAGGTCACTGCTCTGAACCCTCAGAAACCACTGTGTTCTTTGTCAGCTGCCAGTGGTTCAAATGCCCTGAAAGACGGAGGGCTCATGTAGAGCTCAGTCTCAGAGGGAACCCAAAGCTGTGCAGGTAAAGTGCTGAGCAGGAGAGGAAGCCGCCTGGCCCCTGTGCCCACAGAAGGCCCGCTCTCCCAGGAGCCTGAGATGGGGTCAGCATGGCTCCTGTCCTTAAGGCTTCTGCGTACTGAGCCCTTCTGCCCCCTGCAGTGCCGGGGAGCAGGGGAGTGGGTATTGGTGGAGAGATGGCCCAGGCTACCTGCTCTGTGAACAGCTGGACCCGGACACACTGCATGATGCAGCTGTTTTCATATCGGACAACAGACAGTGTGGGACGGGGGTCCAGAGGGAAATGCATGAAGTGAGCTCCTTGACAACCTGGCTTTCTGTGGGGAGTCAGGGAGAGGTAGGTAGAGGGGGAAGACCCACAGAGGAAGGCAGGCAGAGGGGGGACCTTGCCCACTGTGAGTGGAGGAGGATGGAAGGCAGGAGGGCATTCCTCATCCCTAACCCTTTTGGAATTCCAGGGCAGGATATAGAGGAGAGGAATCTGTGCACCGAAGGAACTCCAAGACATAGCATCACTTCCCCTGCAGTCTTACAAAAATGCATTGCTCTCATCTCATCATGAGGAAGCATCAGACAGACCAACTGAGGGGCACTCTTCAGAATTACCAGCCAGAGTTTTCAAGTATCAAGATTATGAGATGCAATTAAAGACTGAGGCATTGTCAGACTCGGGGAACATGACAGTTAATGTGGCCCACTGGATTGTTTCTGGTACAGAAAAGACATTAATGGAAAAACGTGAAATCCAAGTAAGGTTGGTAGTGTAATAGTATTGAATTAATAGCAAGAGGTATACAGGAACTCCAGACGATTTTTACAGCTTTTCTGAAGTCAAAGAATTTTTCAAAATAAAAAGTTGAAGAGAAATAGTATGAACAACTTTATGCACATAGAGCAAGTGATTCAAGGAAATGGTTAAATTTCTTCAAAGACATGGATGAGCAACACTAACAGAGGAAGAGACGGGAATGTGAGTAGTTCTATAAATAGAGGTCATGAACACAGACAGACCAAAAGCACCTTTCCATTGAGAAAACTCCAGGCCTAGGAGCCTTTCCTGATGAACTCTATGAAATATTTAAGGAAGAAACTATATGAATCCTATACACATTCAGAAAGCAGAGGAGAAGGAGCCCTTCCCAATTTATTTTTCTGAGGCTGGCAAAGACAAGGTCATGTCAAGAATAGGAAATTACCAAGCAGGTTTTTTTTAAGAGCAGATATTAATTTCTGAAGGAATTATTAGTAAACTAGAGGCACGGTACATGAAATAAGTGCACTCAGGAGGGTCCTTCAATCCAGCCTCCAGGAGCCAGCCTAAGCTGGCAGTTGGACATTCTTAGCACTGTGCTCGCCAGTCGTGAGCCAAGTTGTCAAGGAGCTCACTTCTGGCTAAACGGCGCTCGCCCTGTGAGAATGCACTGACCACCAGCGGCAGCTCTTGCATTGAGTGTCTGTCCCCTGTGGTCAGTGAGTGTCATAGGAACGGATTGTTCCGCCATTTAGTCAACTTGCATATTACCCTTTTATTAGTTTAGATGAGTGCAGCAGTACATGAAAAGCGTAATGCATCAATACCATGTGGGATTTTTTCCAGAATGCAAGATTGGCTGAACATGAATGAATTGATGTAATTCATTAAATACCAAATTAAGAGAGAAAGATATAAAATGATATGACCATCTGCC